ATTTTCAAAACATTAAATGATGTGTTCAAAAATTCATGTTAGTTGATAAACCAGTTTTATCTCTACATTGGATTAGAAATTATGGCTTCACATCTACTTCCCTTATGAGTGGCAGCATTCCCACTGACTGTAAGGAGAATGGGTTCAAGCAAATTGCTGGGCAGCAAATTTCCCCAGTCTCACTCCTTTTCCTGACAGCCGCATGGTAGTTTCACGATGTCTGTCTGCCTCTCAGGTAACATACATAAATATGAGAAAGAAAATCCTCCTGCAAAAATACATTGTATTCTGAATCTGGGCTGTGACTGTTGTCCTCTCTCTGCATTTATGAACAGAATATTTGGTCTTCACGTGACAGGATCATGCCCTCTCTGTACCCATGCTGCCTTTCAGACTAGGCAGGACAAGTTTGATGGCCTAATGGGTATCCTCTCCTTGAAGATCCAGAGTTCCCATACTTTCATTAACTTGACACTGATACAAAGCGCCTTTCATTCTGCCAGTCCTTCGTACAATTATTTGTTCACTGCACCCCTCGCTAAGGGCTGACCCACATAAAAGAAAAGAGGTAGGAACTATTTCTTTAGATCAAGCAATAGAAGAGTCTGATTTCTAAGGATTTAGGATTATAACTTTGGTAATGGTCCATGTTGAGAGGAAAATCGGTGTGACTGAGCAGCTGAGAGTGCATCATAATCCAAATGCACAGAGGATCATAGTGAAGATTACTACAGTAACCTTAATTCTGCCTTCTTTACGCTTGGAGTGCTTAACTTCAAAGCATTATTTTTCTTTTAATGTAGGCCTTTGGCAGTTGCAGTATTTCATAGACTGGCAAGCCAGAGAGAACAATTATAACCACCTAATTTGACCTCCTATATAAAACAGGACACAGTGTCACTTGTTACTTTTACTTTGAGCCAATTAACTGGTGTGTGACTAAGCGTAAGTTTGAAAGGCATTATTTTTTTCACTTGAGGATTTCAAGAGATGGAGAATACATTAGTTTTCTTGCTGGTTTGTCCCAACAGTTAGCCACTCCTTCTGCTTAAAAAATGTATGCTTCTTTGCCTATCTGAATGGTTTCACGGTCTCAGCTTCCAGCTAGGGGCAATTCAGGTCTTTTGTCTTTGGACTAAAGACCCTTTTAGTCACTCTGTGTTTTCTCTCCATTAAGTTAAATAAGTGTCTTAGTCGCTGTAATCACATCTTCCTAATGCATTCTTGTTGAGGAAGCTAAATAGCTTGTGCTTTTAAAGTCTCTCACTGTAAAAACTTCCTGCAGCCCCCCAAATAATTTTGAAGCTCTTTTCTGCTCCTTTTTTTTTCTTACTTCCTTTTCTGAACATGGGAACCAGAACCATGTGCTGTATTTTAACAGCAAATGAGAGACTGATATCAGTCACAAGTCCAACAACCGAAACCATGCACACCACCTCCCTATCTCAGCTTACACACACATATGTATATGTATGTGTATCTGTACATGTATTCTTGGGCAAAAATTATGCAGCCTCTTTGGGACAGGTACAGACCTATCACATCAATGAGATTCATTTTATAGTATGATATCTGTTACATCCCCGTCTGCAAAACTTTAAATACAGAAAACCCAATTCATCCAACAACCAGGCCTGATGCCACCAATAGTAGAAGTACAAGCAAATGGCAAGGGGAACACTTTACCATGGTACCTGCTACTGCTCCAAGGCCAGGATCCATTATGGAAATGCTGGTCCTTGATCCAAGGATGCTCAGACCAGCCTAAGCTGAGGGGATCCCGCTGGTACTGCTGCCTTTACCAGCCCTGTGCCAGTCCAACCTTAGATTTCACCTTCCCACTTCTGTATTATTTTCCTTCCATACCCTAGCTTTTCCCCTTTTGTTTCTCTTCCTGTTTCTCCTCTGCTCGAGAAGCATTTGGGGCTGCCAGATGAGACTCCATCTTCTGCAGCTTTCCTATAACTGTGTGGCCAAAAACATCAGCAAAAAGTGGTATCTTAAACAGCTGTAGTGTTGGTACAAACTAGTTGCATCTCAGAGTTGCCTGAAGGCAACATGTGAGGCTTGTTCTTCTGAAAGGGAAAGGTTGTAAGCAAGAAAAAGCACCAGTAGAACTGCAATTTCTGTTTCTATGTTTGCTATTATTTTATGTATGCCTGTCATTAAAAGGTAATTAGAAGGAAGTTAGTTTGAATAACAGACATTACAGAATTAATTCTTTCTCCAGGACAGTTAATGACACCTTTAATACAATCAAAGAGATTGCCAGTTCAGGAAAGAGAAGCGGATACAGAAGTTATTCCTTCTTTTTCTGTACTTTTAATGACAGGTAATGAAGGCTGCGTGTTTGTCCATGGGATTGAGAAAGCTGAAAAGCCAAATCTTAACTCCTTAACGTTGTATGACATCAGGATAACTCTTTTAGCTTTCTAGGCCCATTTGTTCCCTCAAAATGAATCAAATATTTCTCCCATTATCTAAGTCTTTCTTACTCTTGAACAGGTTGCAATGAATGATATTGAACAGTTCTGACAGAACACTGAGCTTTTTTGCCCCTAGCCTGAATCCAGCTCAGTTCAAATGTTTTTCTGTGGTTGTTTTTTTCGGTGATGCGTTTTTCAGTGATCTTTAATGACTTCACTCTTACATGTGATCAGTTCTGACTTCCATTTTCATTATCTTAAACTTGTTTCCATGCTTTCTACAAATATTCAGATTCCATAGTGAGATCAGAAATGCAGGTGTTAATCGGCTAAAATCTTTCTGATCTGTTTGGGAGAAAATGCTGATGAAGGCTTGAAATGTGCAAGCTAGAATAATCAGCGAAAGTGCTCTCCGTCCTAAAATTTTGCACTTTTTAAAAAGTGAAAGTTCATGGTTATTAGCAAATGTGCAGAAAAGCCCATTACCTTTAAAAAAAATGCCATGCATAGAGCTGCACAACTTGTTCCTTGTATGAAGCTCTCCACCTCTCTTTAAGTGCATGATTGACAACACACCCTCAACTGCTTAGAAAAATGTTCACAAATAAGTGCCTGCAACCAGCTAGTGAAGAATGCAGCTGTATCATCTAGAAGCAGACAAGCTGTCTACCTTTCTACTGACAGCATTTTGTGAGAGGTTTATGAATGCAGGAACCCTGGTCGTTCAGTCTCAGCTACAGAATTTCAAGCATTTTGTGCAGCATGGACAAGGCTCCATTTCTTCTGTGGTTGCACCCTGTGTAGCTGACTGCTGTGAAACTATCAAATTAGATATTGCTTTTAGGTTATTTATAGAGCATTAAATAACAAAAATAGCAATGGAGAATTTAACAAGCTATTCTTGCTGTAAACAATAAACATTAACTTTCAGGAATAACAAAACATCAGGTTGACAAAGAATGACGGCTCTAGCTGTGAGACGAATGATTTTTCAATTATAGCCTATCCATAACTGTGAGGGACACTTTCCAATAAACAAACACAAGTAAAAGGCTTGGGGTTTTTGACAAAACAAATTCATCATAGTAAACAGTACTTGTTCACATTTGGCAAGCATGCTTTCTTTCAGAAAATGCAGAAAATGCCATGTCCAAAAATTCACATTTGAATAAAAATTAGTTTTGCATAGCCATGGCAAGATCCACGATAACTTGGTAACCACAACTTCAGCTCAAAGAAGAGTTAAATTGTTCCACTCTTCCTGTTCTCACACCAGCAGATCATTTCAAACAAATTTCATCTGCCCTACTTACACAAACAAACTGGACATCACGTAAATAATTCACAGGATGGCAGTCTCTTCTGCTAACTGCATACTGAAAGACTCTGCCTTGAACAGGAAACATGGCTGAAACTGATATCACCGCGCTAGCCTTATAGGACCAGATGGTATAAGTGCTCCGTAAATCAAAAATATACCTGACCTGTGAAGGAGAAATTTGTTCTTTTTGATAGATCAGGCACGGGGAAGCTGTTCTACGCTTGTGGACCTGTTGTTTCTTAGGCCTGCGTTCACAACGTTAGCAGGTCTGCAACACAAACAGGAATAGAGCACAGACACAGCTCTTGCCTAGTGAATATTAACTAATTCACCAAAATGCCTTCTGTTCCTCTTATAATGCATATTACACACTTAGCAGTTAAGAAATATCAAGATTAAGATTTTAGGCTTTTGTTCATTTGATACTGTCTTTACCCAGGATGAAGGACCCAAACATACATAGCAGTCTTTCTTCTTCCCCTGGGACCTCTCGCATCTGCTCCGCATCCTCTTTCCGTGGGGTGCTGTGGGTGACAGCACACATCGCTGCTCCCTCCACCTGTAGCACCTGCTAGCGTCGGCACCAGAGTACAGGACCGCAGCTGAATAAGGCGGGAAGATAATGACACAAGAGTAAGGAAACACAGAGAGAACACTCCAGGAGAGGAAGAGAAAGTGAAGTTTCATGATATTCCTCTGGCACTTGATGCCAGAAAGTGGCATCCATCCTTCTTCACTCACTGTCCACATGGTTCCAGTCAAATGAGGATGTCAGACAATGTCACGAATTGGGTCTAGAGTAAGGTAATTGCCAGTGAAAGATAAGAAAGAAAAGGAGAAATGAGAGGATGGTGCAGATGTAGGGAAGAAACAGAGAAAATTAGTCAAGAAACGGAGTGCAAATCCCGAAACTTCAAGAAATACATGGCCAAGAAGAGGGGAGGGAGTGGGGAAGACAGAGAGACAGTTCAACAGGGACAGTGTGTAAATAATAAAGTGTGTAAAATTGTGCAAGTTACAGCTAGACCTGACTATTTTGCTTAAAAACAAAAAGAATATGGACCACCTTGTGCATGCACACAGCGTGGACTGCTGTGTCCACAGGGCCACATCTCTTACCTGCCACACCTTTTTGACAAATGTGTATCATCATGTACTATGATACATGACTGTAGATAAACATGTCACAAGGTGTACCAGAATTAATTGGTAAGAAAAGTATATAATCAAGATGCTCTTCTACTTAGAGTACAATGATATTAAATAAGATTTTAGAGATCGGGGTCTCCAGAGAGGACGTGTGTCCCTTCTGGCACAGGCGCAAGCTACGAGCGCTGTTCCAGCATTGGGAGGGTGAGATGACTTTGCACCATTGCTGCTGGTGCAGCTTAGCCAAGGGTCGCGCTGCCACCCCCCACCATCTACGCCCTCCTCCTCCTCACTCATCCCTACCACCCCCTCTTTTGCCGGGATATGTGAAAATAAGGAAGTAAGTGATGAAAAAACATGACTAACTCGCACGCGAATTTCTGCTGGGAAATTTGCCAGGTTGCTATGGGAAACACATGCTGCAAGGAGCATCTGCTCCCTGCCAGTCCGCCTCTGTCCTGGCGTGTTCACCTGCGCTCTCTGGGGGCTTAGACAGGCCGTCCCTGCTGACACTGGGGGACAGGTGAACAGGCTCTGCCATTCCCTTTCGCAAATATCGGACGTTCTGTATCTTCACTTTTGTTTGCCCGCTCCCCCTGATGAGAAATCTGACCCACGAAAAGCGAGCTCGGAGGATCTACGTCCCTGTGTGACGGTCGTTTCTGCGCGGCCAAGATACAACCCGAATACTCGAGAACTGGCCATAACATTACGATGTTCGTATCGCCGCTTCTAACTCGCACAGACTTGATGAGCCCAGCCATCACAAGTACGCAGGCACCTGCGGACACTTGATTCACATTTTACAGCCCGTCGCCAGGTAGAACATGCTAGATGCAAGCCTTCAGCCTACGCTGCACGCCTCACGTACGGCTGCAGAAAGCAGCGCCTGTCATTCTTCACGCCTGTTACACCACTTTCTAAACAAGCAAGCGCATCCTACAAAGGGCTCTTTTTCCCCGCAGATATCCCTGCAATCCAAACAGTCTGGAAACGGCCTCTTGGTTCAACAGTCCCGTGGTATCCGCAGTCTGGCTCGTCAGAGAGGAAAACAGCAGAACTGCTGCACAGCCCGAACGCCCGTCTGTGTTAGCTGGGTACAGGGTGACTTCGTCGGAAGAGTGCTTCAGTCAGATAGACGATCAGGACATCTTTTCCTCCTGGTGACACCTTTTCTGCAGAAGGGTATTTTTCAGTAGATGATTGAAAAAATACTTGCTTTCGGCAACTGCATTAGCCCACAGACATGCTAGTGGAGATGTGTTTTCTTATTCTTACACTCCACTTTCAGTAGTACATATTTTCAATCCCAAGTCTTCTCAACAGAAATTTCTGTGACCTTTACCTTTTGTCTTTTACTTCCAAAACCTAGTGCAACACGCCCAGATTCAGACCTGCTATCACTCTCCAGTTTTATATATGCAGCTATTCTGCCTGTGCTTTCCACACACCAGCACTTGAGGTGACTTGTAGGCTCCTCTGTCTCTTGTCACCACAGGGTGTTCACGGCATGTATAGGGTACATGCTCACAGGTGCACTTTAGACAAGCCGGTTTCACCAGAAACTTGGGTTCTCATGTGACACTGGCTTCTATTTCTTGTCCACTTCAGTCTCTCAGCAAAAGTACTCACAGGGAAATGCGCAACTGTCTCACGTGCAATAGTTTAAATAAGCCATTTATTAGCAGCTGCTTGAACCGCACCCGTAATTTTATTATTTTCTGGTACTGCTGAATTTTAACAGCCTTTACTCCTACTGCCCACTGTAGACGCTCTATAATATTATCTATAGCATTTACAATTCAGCAGTGTTCCAGCACTTCCACAGAGAAAAGAGGAAGTTTTTCTCTCAGTCTGCAAGCTCACCAAACAGCATTGCCAACCCCAGACCACGTGGCAAATACCTGGGGCATCACATGTAACGAAACATACGACACAGTTAGGCAGTAACAATGCTTTATTTTTCATTCTCTACGATTCACAGTTACCGTACCTTTCCTATGCACCGTGCTTTTCTCCACCGGGAGTTCAATTCTGATTACTTGCGCTACAGCAGAACCTGGCCCCAGATACGAAGCGTATCCATCCTGCGCCAGGCGCTGCCCAGCCAGAGCAGAAACAGCGAGCACGACGACATGAAGAGGCGTAATTTGCTAGTTGGCACGGTAAACTCAGCAGTTCCGTCCTTCTCGGGACTAGTAAGGCTGTCATGGGAGCGTCTGAGGCACTGCCAAAGAAACAAATGGCATGCCGTGAAATCGCAACAGGGAAGCTCCTTCCACACTAGAGAGAATGCTTGTATGGTATTCGGGAAGAGCTAAAGATTTAAGCCAGTCAGTTCTGCCTTCTGAACACAGGTCACCGACGTGACTACAAAAACCAGCCTGGCAGTCCTGGCTGCCCAGGCAAAACAGATAGAATGAAGTCTATCTAAAAGCTGGAAGAAAAAAATAAGATCCTTTAACTAATAATTTAAAAAAGAGCGGGGAGCAATCCACCACATGTATTAGGGCATCACACAAAACCATCCCAGAGACGACTCGGGAAGGGGCAGGAGTCATCAGCCTGACGGGAAAAGCCACCGTGTCGCTCGCGGAGGGCGGTTCCACGACCCAGCCACCTGTGCACGCTGCGGTAATTGCCAGCACCAGCAGTGACCATGTCGAGACTTCCCGTGTCTTCTCTAGAGACCTGCCGCAGCTTGCGCTAAGAGCAGTTTTACAGCTTAATTTAG